GGGGGGGGGGAAGGCGCAGTGGGGGTAGCGGGCATGCGCCTGCGTTGCATGCGCCACAACTTGGTGGCAAAACTCAGGTAGCACGGTTATTGTGCTGAGGGCACACAGTTTTTGCACGGCATAGAGCGGCCCTGGGTGCCGGGTGGTGCTGCTTGTTGCCCAATCAAAGGCAGCCGGACGGGTGGTGCCCAAGGACACGAACAGCGCTGTTCCCGACTCACTTGTCGATGTAACCGGGGCCAAAGGATGTGATGGTGGAGGGTGTCCTGGGGTCAACATCCAGCACGCCACCCTTCGAGGGGAGGAGGACCGCAGTGTTAGGGGGGCGGGGACTTGACTGTGATTGCAGCATGACCCGTGCCAGGGTCCTGCCGGCCGGATCCAGCAGGCATGTGCGACCACTGCTTCAGGCAGGACAGAATAGGGCTGTGCGTGATGGCGGGTGCACCGCAACGTCCAGGGGGAGCATGCCCCTGCACGGCTGGGTGATGCCCGCATGCCCACCACACGGCCGACACGACACCACAGTCATCACGGGCGCGCGCACCTTCTCCAGCTCCAGGTGGCAGAGGTCGTCCACCTCCTTGCGCAGCGCCTGGGTGGCGGGGGTGGGGCCCGCCAGGAACGACGCATCACCATCGTAGGGCTTGAAGTTCTCCTGCACGTACCTAGGGGAGGATAAGGGAAGTGGGACCCATCGGTTGCAAAGCGGGCTGACCGGGCCAACGGTGTGCACGTCCGTCAAGGCCCAAAGCTCCGCCACGCATGCAAGGCAGGACGGGCAGGCTCTGGTACCTGCCGTCCGCACACGCTGCCGCCGCAGCATGCCAAAGGCCACATACAAAACAGCTGGGCTCAAGTGTGGGCTGGCCATCTATGGTTGCGTACCTCGCCACATCGATGGTGGTGTGCTTGGCCTTCGGAGGGGCTGCTTGGGGCTTGGCGGCTGCCTCCGCGGCGCTGGATGCGAAGGAACGCAGTCCGCTGTGCCCACCCACGCAACGCGCGCGGCGCGGGCAAGGGGGCGTGTATGCAGCGGCATTCCTGAACTCCTTGTGCATTGGATGGGCCATGCAGCACCAACATGCCGGTGCACGGTGCCAATGCAGCTCACACGCCCATGCGCACGCACGCATTTTGTGCCGTACCTCGCCGCAGCGGTGGCAGTGATCCCAGACACGGGAATCTTGTGATATGTGCGCTGAGGAGTGGTCCTGATACATGCGTATGAGGAGAAGTTTTGACACTTGGTGCCGCGTGCTCTCGGGAATCAGGATCATCAAGCCGACAATCTCGGCGCCCCCCTGACCGACCTGAGGGGCCGGTATGACGCTCCAGAGACCGATGTCACGGTTCTGCTGGCAGCGGGAACGGCCGCAACAACACCAGGGGCTTGCCGCGACATCACCCCTGCTGCAACTGTGAGAGCGGGCGCCAGCGAGAATCCCACTGGCTCGCAGCAGGTGGCTAGCATCGTGCCTTGCAGGAGCGCTCTCAAGCGTGGGGCCGTCGACGATAAAGTGTCGGTCAAGAACGATCTCAGCGACAGCTCAGATTTCGTATCATGTGCACTATGTGATCAGTGTAAGATGTGTATGCCAAAAACTTTGCGGATGGTACGTGACTTGGGCCTTTCGGCGGAAGGACACCACGCACACGCGAAGCTGCTGCAGCTCGGTCTGCACACTAGCGTCATTGGCAAGAGCGCTGCGCTTTTTCCAGGCAAACGTTGCAGGGAATCACAGAGAGATGAAGCAAGGCTAGGCACTATTGATGGGACACGTCACAGCAAGTCTGTATTGGTACAGGACACCCCAACCACCATGGCATGCACGGAAGTAGCCACTACAGGCTATAGCCGGGGCCACCAGGCGAAACAGACATGCCGTGAGACGTACAGCTGCTTTACATAAGCTGCGTGCATGCTGCATCACATGCACCCATGCATGACACCAGACTGTACAGCTGTGGGCTGCATGGCCTGTTCCGCGGACAGCACCTCAGCAACACTGGCTGCCCCTTGCGCCGCCCGTAATGTTTGTTGCCTGCTGCAAGCTTAGTCGTGTGCGTGCAGCTGTAGGAGTATCTAGGTGTGAAATTTCTCTACTTGCATGCCACGCCGTCATACGATTTCCAGCACCAGCCATCTTGAGCCTGAAGCACAGACCACAGCAGATCAGGGCTGCAGGCCATCTGCAGATTTATGCCCATGTTTGATTGCAGCTTTCCAACCTTGTATGCACACCTGTGCAATCGTGCAGCCACCAATTGATGTATTGCAGGACTCAATTACAGAGCTGCTCCCGGACGTCATGCAATGTCATGGCGATGGTTCAGTGACAGGATTTTCAAGAGTTGGGTGCTTCAGTGGGCAGCAGGGGAGCAGTGACTTGATACAAAGGGGCCACTTGGCTTATCATGGGCCGCAATAGGTGTGGTGTCTAAGAAACGACCAGAGGCAGAGGGCTAGCGCCGCTGAGCGAGGCACAGGCGGGTGGTTGCTGTGGTGGGCAAAAGGGAGGGGAGGCGCGGCGGCACAGCCTGCAACCCAAGGCCCTGTTGTATGTAGCCAGCCAAGCATGAGATTTGGCGGCGTGCGGGCGGGCAGGCCTGGCAAATCTTCCCACTACGTTGTTTTGCCGACCCACACACCTGCGTCACCCCAGTCGAGTCCTGCCCTAGTCAATGCTCTGCGGCTCACTACCGTACCAGCAGCCCTTCACCCAGCCAACGCCCACATCCAATGCCACTCACATGTCTATTATCACCGCTTCATGAGCAAATCATACCTGTGCAAGCCTGATCTGACAACGAGAGCTGTGAGAGTGCACTGTGATAGGGTTGCACAAGCCTGGCACCGCTTTCAAGTCACTATGATTGTGCGACTGGCGGTGGTGATGGCGTTATGGGCCGTGCTGGGCGATTCAGGTGGGCATTGCGAGTGGTGCCAGCTCGATCGCCGGTATCTCCTCAGACAGGGCGGTGAACCGAATGTTGTTGCTGCTTTGGGTTGCAGTGAAGGCCGTACAAGAGCTGGTGGGCTACCAGGAGGGATCCCTGAGGACGGTGAAGTGCAAAAGCGGTGGTTATTTCACGGGGATCGAGGCATCCTTCGTCACGCTTGGTGGCTTCCGCGAGAAGGTGGCTGTTGGCCTGCGGCTACGCTGCAGCACGTGAGCAGCGCGCACCGCTCGAACTGGCGCGGATGCGCAGTGACGCTCGTGCAGCTTCTGCTGCTCGTGCTGGTGCTGCTGCTGCTGTTGCTGCTGAGTGCTGCTGAGTGGGATGTCGCTATAGGATTTGCGCGCCAAGAGCCCGATTTTGGTTTGCTACTGCGTGCCTGTTGCTCGGCGGTGCACCACAAACCGGCACATGCGTGTCTCCGGCTTACTTGCGCACTCAGGGGTGCGCTTCAACTGCAGTACACCGGTGAGGTTCCTGACAGTCACGAGTTTGGGGCCAACTTTGCAACGGGCAAGGTGTTGCAGGCGCTTTGTCCTCCTGGCAAGGGCATCGCCCGAGTTCAGTGGCGGCGCGGCGAGCTTGCCGGCAAGGACGACCAGGCCTGGAGGCCCAGCGGCATGCAGCTCTATTGCGGCACCGAGTGAGCAGCTGACAACAGGGCGGCAGGGTCGATTTGCCAGGGCCTGCTTGTAGGAGGGTGGCCAACTGACGGATCTTTCAGAGCTGTGTCAGAGCTGCCGGCTACAGGCAGTGGACGCCGTCAGCAGCTGAGTTATTGACACGGCCACTTCTCCTCTTTGTCTGCTAAGCAAGTTGCACTGGCACCTTGTGGGCGTAACAGGGATGCTGGCTTTCTCTCGACCCCTAGCATCTGCCTACTCACCCACTCTTGCCCTCTCGCGTGCTGTTCCCTCTCACTAACTCTCTGCAGGACCATGAACCCCATCACAATTGACACAGAGACCGGCAAGACCTACACTCTGAGCGACGTGCAGTGCAGCAAGACCGCCACCCCACCGCAGTCCGCGGACGAGCGGAGAGCAGTTGAGTTGCAAGTGTGGGAGGAAATCGATTGGGTAGGGCTGCGATTCGTGGCGTGCGAAACCGCCACGCCACGTTCGTAACTGCCAGGCTGCCGCGCAGGTGGTGTTGCGGATCATCTTCGACCATCTGTGTCTGAATATTTGATGCCATTTTTTGCTTCCTTTTGATTTCTTCTCACTCTTGCCTTGTGAGATTGTGTTGCATGATGCGCTCAAACCGCAGTATATTTTGCAAGAGCAAGCGCATGTACCGTACGAGCTCGCAATGTCGCTAACCATCAATTTGCAAGTGGAGCTTGTGTAATATGGCTGCCGCCGGCTGCGCATGTGTCAGGTGGCTGACGATGCAGGGCCCCGCTCCACAAAATTACCTGTGCAAAGGTGAATTGGTGGGCTTTTAGCTTCCCACTCGCCGTGCGGCACAAACGAGGCAAGTTGATGAGTTGCTATACCTGCCAGAATGCAACGGTGCCCACGTCGCAATTGTTGGGTTGCCTCGCTCAAAATAGGCAGGGTGGATGCAGTCACAGGCGTCATTCTCCTCCGCAAAGCAAACTGACGACCAAGCATAAACAACATGTTAATTCGCAATCTGCTTGGCCCACTCACCCTTTGCCACCTTGTCCATCAGCGCATGCAGCCAGGGCAGGGGCCCCTGCTTGCTGCGCGCCCTCGCCAATGTCTCCCCTGAAGCCTGTTCCTTCAGCCGCGCCTCCAGCTTGGCTAGCATGCGTGCACGCGTCTCCTTCACAGTGCCGCTTATTTTCTGGTCGTGAACAGGAAGCGGCAGGGCACCGCAGCGCAGCTTAGGTTCATTTTGTTTGATATGAGATAAGACATCAAGCTTGCCCACAGCTGTGGGCAGGGTCAATCACCAGCACACCAGACCGCTTGAGGGCTGCTATGCACAGGTCCGCTGCCCTACCTGCCTGCCTTCCGCCCACCTTGGTGATCTGGCCAGAGCTACTCAGCACCTCCTGCAGGTGGTCCAGCATGCTGCCGCCCTTGGATCTTCCCTTGAATCCCAGCAGGTCCTCCAGCCGCAGCTTCCCCTTGTCTAGCCGCGCCTGCGTGTTTTTGAGGAATGTCCTGCGTGCGGCAGGCAGCGGCAGAGCTCGGGGCACGAATCAGTGTGGGCCCCAGGTACGGGGTGCAGTTGAGCAAGGGCGCGACCCCCAATTTTGGATTTGCTGCAAAACATAGCAGCACTCTCAGTGTGGTCACTAGCTACGGCCTCACTTCATCTCCATCATCCTGAAGTCATATGTCTTGTTGACAATCTGTGGTGGTGCGGCCATTTCGCCGTTCATGTCAATGACGTGACCAATGGCGGCGGTTGGCGATAAGGCCCACATGCAGAGCAGAGTGAGAGTGCTTGAAGGCACAAGGCGGCTGCACGCTGTGGCATAATGGTCCTCATCACCATGGCAGCAAAGAAGTCGGCCTCTGTTGGAAAGCGTATGGGGTTATCGATCGGCCCGCCAAACAGCGTGAAGGACACCTGCAGTGCAGGAGGAGGGATGGATTAGGATCAGGATTGTTACAAGATCCCGCGGTCGCCCGCTCCTGGAGCCATCCAGGCTCATGGGATATGACTTGGTAGGGATGCCTTCACTGCAAGCTAGCCCGTTGCCCTGCACGCTGCGGCTCGGCTGCAACGAAACAGGAAAGCGCACAAACAAGCGCTCTGTGCTGTGATCCCTGGATTCACCTCGGTGCCATACTTGCGCTCAAACCTGCACTCAGGCCCTGACAGCTGCTCTGGCTCGCGAGATGGTCCCAGGTATGTTATGGGTGTCTGCATGGGTCATGCATGGGCAAGGGGCACATTGCTATGCCGGCACAATGTCGTACGAGCCAAATCTTTCTCTTGGCAGGTGAGTCAGGGCCACCAACCGGTTGCCGGCAGAGTTTCATCAGTGTATCAACCGCCTTACTCATGACCAGCGACGCTCATCGAGGCACCCGGCCGGCGCTTCCTCAACACCACTCACGAAACCATACTGCAGGGACGGGCCTTGACACGCCAGTCGCAGCAGCTGCACGCTGGTCCAAGTAAGGCTGCCCTGGCCTATGACGCCAGGCGTCAGCAGGGCGCAATTGCCCCGCGCTGACGACAGTGTAAAGGTGGGGCCCACCCAGCGGGGCTTGGTGCGTGCGCCCCCAGGAGACCACTGCCACTCGCCGCATTCTCTGAGCGTGATTGGTGAGGGCAGAAGTGAGTGGCTTGTGATGGCGGATGGCAGTTCATGCCTGCAAAATTGCCCCTGCTAGGCCCTACAGCGACTGGGAGCAATCTCATCTCGAATATACGGGGATTGCACAAGCAGCAGCCCAGTACAGATATTAATTGTTCACTACTAGTAGTATTGCTCAGTATTGAGCACCTCACAATGGGTAGATGTCGTTTTGAATTTCCCCCAGCTGTGTCAGTCGCTCTGCAATACGCGCCCCTGGGCTGAGCAGCTCATTGACGAGCGGGGACGTGGCTGCCTTCGCCAGCTGAAGGAGGCGGCTGTCCTCAGAGGTCGACTCTTCCATGGCGCCCTGCGGGTGCATGTACATACAGCCGCGGCACTGTGGTTGGATCACAGTTTTGGAGTGAATTTGTAATGAAACGTATAAGGGTGATTTACACTTCTGGGGCGTTCGAGCATTAATCACATATTCATCTCCGGCATTGATGACGGACGCCCCGCTTACCTGCAGTGCCTTGACGCGCTGTTGCAGCAGAGCCTCTGCGTCTGCTGGGCTGCCGCCAGGGGCTGCTGCATTGGGGATTCTGCGGAGGGCCTCAGTGATGTCCACCTTCAGGGGCGCCTTGGACGCGCCAGCCACCAGGGACGAGTCGCGACCAAGGATGCCAGCCAGCACGGGCCTGCAAATAGAGCGGGTCAGCTTTCCAAGAGGGTTGCCCTGAGTATCCACGCTCATCACTGGCGCTGTTGGCTGAACCATCCTGCTCGTTACTGACAGTTCCCAACTAATATTGGCTGTGCACCAAGGAGTTTGACCAGCAGTGTCCCTGACTGCTCTAATCATCCGATCCCACTTTGCACTCACCCCAGGTTGACGTTCAGCTTGCCATCGTTGTCAAGCCTGACAAGACGCTTGTTCAGCACGGCGGCCAGCTGAGAAATGGGGGGCAGAAGCTTTTCTAAAGCGCCATGCGGCTTGAGATTAAGGAACGCACGTCAATTCAATGAAAGACATGTTTGCCCAGCAGCTGCACACCTCGTCAATATTTTCCTTTAAAGCCGTCTGCAACTTGGAATCGCCAGCCAGCGGGTTGCCAGCGCCCAGTGCGCCTGCAGCGCAAGCATACATTGTCCCGACATAGTTGCAGGGCACTTGCAAACACCAGATATTGCAATACAAGGTAGGCTCAAGACCCAGCCCTGACGTGCGGTGGATACATCGATGCACCACCTGTGAGCCCGAACGCCCCCAAAGCGTGAAGACCCATTGTCATTTGGGCCAGTGCCTCCTCAGTGCTGCGGAGGTCGCCGCCCAGCATCACGGCTTCTGGTGGTGCGCCTTGCTGGCCTGCAGCGCTGGGATCTTGGCCCTGGGGACTTGCGCGGCTGGCCTGTGCCCCAACAGCAGACCCTGTATATGATTGCGGAGGGCCGTTGTCATATCAGACGTTTGTGGGGTTTGGCGACGGGACCAGGCACAGGCCCTGGATCATGTGGACAACAAGAGGCGCTTGGGGCGTGATACGCTTACGCACATGCAGTGCTGGCCGAAAGCAGATGACATGCTACAATCAAGACAACTCGAATCATTGATGCTGGCCTCCGCTCTATCATGTTGCGGGCCCTCTTGCGATTGAAGCGAATGCAGTACCACGGGTGTGTCCACGGTTGAGGCCGTCTGAAGCAGTGATGAACACCTCGATAATAAATGCAACGAAATATGATATTCTGAGATCCTAGAATCACATAGTTGCTCGCGTCTCGACAAACTTTGACAGCGAGCCTCGGGCACATCAAACAATCTGTTAGTCTGCACAGCGCTCGCTCAGGCTCTGAATACTCGTTTATCTATCGTATCCGGATGGTTTTCAAAGCCTCTAAGCCGCTAAAACACTTGCCAAGATGCCATTCGACCTCCTGGTAGGTGGTGCTGTCGACTCTCACCTCACATGCAGCACAGCTTCTGCTGCACACTGGTCTTGATGGATAGCGGTGTCATCTGCAGTGCAGAGAAGGTTTGAAACCTTGTGCAAAGTCGTGCACATGCTTGCGACTGCCTGCCCGTGCCGCCATTGCTCCTGTGCGGACCGCCCTTCGCCCCCCTGCCATGCCTGCTGGCGTCGGCACGCTCCCACAGACTGGGGTGTTTATCCCGGAGAAGAGCAACATCTGGCGCGATTGCTGCGATGGCATGTATGACTGGGTCAAGGAGCACGTCATGGAGGTGAGAGGTGCCGTGGGTGGGGCGCGGGCGCTGAAAGCAGCGGGGGCAGGAGCAGGCCAGGACAAGGGCTTGCAAGGCCTACTGCAGTGTTGCATGGCAGCCGTGCTGCCTGGAACAAGATAGACCGTGTGTATGACATGCTACACCACCGTCCTGGTCGCAACCACAGGGCTGCACCCTGAACGAGGCAGACCTGTGCGGTGACCCACCACTGGTGCTGGCGGCCGGCAATGGTGTGGGGCGGTGGGCCTCGGCCGTTTGGACAGGGTTCAAGGCCTTGACTTGCCTGTCTAGCGCGCAGGGGCCTCTGGCGTGTGTGCGTTATCACAAGTACGCCTGTTCCTGATGGCCGCCATGCATGTAAGGGCCTCAGTGCTTCTCAATGCCTCTCTCCGTCCTCCGTTCTCCACACCAGGCCACCTGGCTGTGGTGAAGTACCTGCTGTCACAGGGCGCCGGTGTGGAGCAGCGCAGCGTCATGCAGGAGACCGCCCTCATGTGCGGCGGCCTCTTTTGTTTGTGTACACAGTCAATGTAATTTGTATGTTTTGTTGACAAGGGACAAGAGAGGCGCGGGTGTGCACACGCCTCATGGTGTTCCTTGGCACCCACACCTCACAACCTTGTCTCCCAACCCCTCGATTGCCGCGTGCAGCCGGGCCGCTCACAACGGCCACCTCAATGTGGTGGAGCACCTCCTCTCTGCCGGTGCTGCCATCGATGCACGTGACCTGGTAGGAAGCTGGCGATTTGCTCTGAAGTAGTGGGACACTAGTGGCCTAAACCTCACAAGCCACGGTTGCGTGTGCTTATGACCTCCGCGCTTCAAGAGCCGGTGCAGTTTCTGTGCTCTTTAATGATGCCCCGTACCTTCTCTCAGGGGGACAACAGTGCGCTGCACTGGGCGGCGATGCGGGGCCACGTCGAAGTGGTGCGCGCCCTGGTGGCGGCTGGCGCTGACAAGACTGCACGCAACAAGCAGGGCTGCACGCCGATCGACCTGTGCGAGCCTCAGGTGGGTGCCCGGCTGGCCTGGCCTCTGCTCTTCAACAGGCGGTCGCTGTGTTCGGAAGGGCTGCACAGCTGTTCTGGTTGAGCGTTTCTTATTGTTGTGTCTTGATCCAGCAATCAGGAAGCTGCATCGCCTGGCTCTATGTCGTCACCCACCTTCATCCCAGCAGTGGAGCCTGTCCTGGAGGTTCGCACGAGAGGTGCTGGCGGCTTGATGGCACGTACTATGCTTGTGATACTGGAGGGTCGGTAAGGGCCACCCTTGCCAAGCGTGGCAGCTGTTGCTGTGATGTGTGTGTAAGCCGTTCCAAGGTTATACACAGCTCGGTAGAATTTGAAGCCAGCTTACAGCACACACCACCCACCACAAAAAGTCGGAGCATGAATGATGAAACTGCATTTCGGCCTTTGGGTGCAGGTGAATCTATGCGTATGTCCTTGCAGCAGGCTATGATTCTGCCAATCAACCCTGCAGCCGTAGGACGCTCGCGTCCTTTCCCGCCAATTGCCCCCTGGGCTGCTGAGAAGGCCCCGCTGACGGCGGCGGCTCGTACCCAATCGGCAGGCCGACGGCCCCTGGACCCAGCAGCTGCTGCATCCTCTCCCAGCGCAGCGGCGCGGGGCAGTGGACCTCTAGGGCTGCGGCACCGCCAGCTTTGTACACGTCCATCAGCTCCTCCACCTGCAGACAGCGGCAGCATTCAGGGTTTGGGGTTTAGGGTCACAGCAGAGTTTAAACATGCGATTGGAGCCTCTGATGCAAGCTTGCTACCGCTCGCACGTGTGTGAATCAGGTGCAGTCGTCACGCATGCATCCTAGTTTCTCGCGATACGCGCCGCACTTGCGCGCACGCGCCGGCTGCAGCCGCCCACAAACCTAACCGCACACCAGCAGCCACTTGTTATGCAACAAACCCACCTGCTCGGCCAGGGCTTCGGGGTGGCCGATGCGCAGGTCGAGCTCCCCGGCATCCTGGGCCAGCAGCTTGTTGACCAGGGGCTGGGGCAGGCCGGGGTGCAGGGCCTCGATGCGCTGGGCCATCCACGTATTGTAGTAGTGCCACTGCGTGCGGGGGTCCACATGCACGACAGTGGGGTTTGACTGTCACTTGAGGTCTCAAACATCACGGCGCCCTAATGATGGTTGTTGCTCTTGCAGTTTGCATCAAATGGTTACAGGCAACTGCGGTGCACACAGCCACACAGCTCATTACTGGCCAGTGAGGCATTATAGCAGAGCGCATGCTTATAGCTGCAGGCACCAGCAGAGACACCAGCAGATGCGTGCCTGCGGGCGCGGCCGCAGAATCTCGGGCAGGCGCTCCTCTGCTTCCTCAGCGAGCCGGCCCACCAGGCCCGCAGCGCCGCCGGCCGTGAGCGCAGCCGCCTGCGGGGATGACAGCCGAGGCAGCACCATCCGCAGACGCTCCATGTGCGATGGATCGGATGGCTCCAGCTCGCAGGCCTTGCAGGGGGGAGGTGTGGATTGAGTGGTTGAGGAGGCTGCACTGGGGGCAGTGGTGGAGATATGCACAGCGAATGGAGAAAGTCAGGGCAGAGCGCGCCCGACTGTGGCCTTTTTCGAGTTGAGCGTTGATGCCGGCAACGCAAGCCCCCAAAGCCTGATAGATAATTAATGGAATACTCACAATGCTGGCGTGCACTGCCGCGCTTTCCCAGTCGCCCGCGGCGGCGTGCGCCTCGCTGCTCAGGACGTGCGCTGGTGCCCAAGCGCAGGCGTGCAGGCCACGCAGTGGCGCCGCAGCGCGCGCAATGCCATCGCCTGACAGGGTGAGGCAGCTGCTTGGGTTGCTGACGCCCCCTGGTGTGGCGCTAGCAGCGCCGTCGCAGGTGCCTGGCTGTTCTGGAAGGTCGCTGCTCACAATGCTGCCTGGGCCTCCTTCACGAGCACCGCCGTCATCGGCCGCCTCCCGCTCGAGCGCCGCACGCCGCGGCGCGCTGGCCAGCGCGCAGCGCGCGTCCAGGAGCGCCTGCTGCGCATCACCGGCCCTGAGGTACGCCCAGCCCCGCAGCAGCGCTGCAATCGCCCTGTCGCCTGAACGCACCGACAGGGTGGCGCACCGGGTGCTGCTGGGCGAGGACCTGGCGCCATCCCGGCACCGAGCCTCGTGCGCAGCAGCCGTCAGGGAAGGATGTTCCTTGAGGGCAGAGGCGATGCATGCCGCCATCTCCACGGCACTCAGCCGGCGGTCGACGGGGACGAGGCGCAGCAGCTTGCCGTCGCGTGACGAGAACGGCGCTGGCCGCTCGGCAGCCATGATGAGCCTGCAGGCCCAATCCGTGAGGCCCTGAAGCTCCTGGAGGGCTGTCATAGCCTAGTCTCCCATGTAACCTGCTGCAAGGGAGGTGTGTGCAAGTCCCGTGCAGCGGCGCGCCGACGTCAGCTGTTAGCTCGCGTCACCTGGGTGTGTCGACACAGTGACAGTGTGAGGTGTCCATTGACTTTGCACACGACTTGATTGAAGCGCCGTGGGTAGCAAAATTCGCGAGTGAATGTGTTCGTGCTTGCATAGGCAAGCATCACTTGACACTGCTGCAAGATCAAACAATCTCTTGTCGAAATTCGTGTTTGACAGTAGTTCTATACTGGCTTAGCATGCAACTGTGCAGAGAAATCACCCACCGCTTGTTGTGCACTAGCCACCACGGTATCAAGCTGCGGGTGATGGCGACAAGCAGCAGCCCTGAGCAGCGGCGCTTTGTGGCAGCGCAGGCAGCGGCCCCAAAAGCGGCGCTGCTAATAATAGGGGATGAGATACTCCAAGTGAGAAAGACATATGATAACCTACGTGTTTGACGATGCGCAAGTGTTGCTGGTGCCTTGCACGGCAGGCCCCTCCGTGGGCGCCAAGTCACTGCTGGGGCGCACTGCAGGCGTGAGTGGATTGTCACACAGCGGCGGGGCTGCTCTCGCTCTGAGCGCAGGGCTCCATCGTGGACGCCAACACCCCCTGGCTGGCCAAGCTTCTGTACTCGCGGGGCGTGGACCTCGTGAGGGTGGAGAGCGTGCCAGACGACAGCGCGGGTGACGGCACGAGCACGCAGCGATGGAGAGGCTGGAGTGACTGCTCTAGACCGAGCGCTCTGTGGAAGGATGCGGTCTGATTCGGTGGCTTGTGCCCTTGCAAGCTGCAAACTCTGTACTGACACGTCTTGCCACGCCCCCGCAGACATCATAGAGACCGTTAAGCGCCTGCGGCAGCGGGTCGGCGACGACGGCTTCGTCTTCAGCAGCGGCGGTGCGCGGGCGGCGCTAGGCAAAGCAAAGCTGTGGTTTTGCGGTGCACATGGGATATCGGCGGCATTTCTTGCCGGCTGTGTCTGTACCATGATAACATATTCGCATATTGATGGCATCCTTTCTCATGCACAGCTGTTGGCCGTTGAGCTAACATCCCAACCTACATCCTGAACTCTCTTCTGTGCAGGCATCGGACCCACACATGATGACGTGACGTATGAGGCCATCGCGCAGGCCTTTGGTGGGCACCGCCCTTGCATGGTCCTCTTGGCTCCCTGCTGCTAGTGGTAATTGCGTTGTTGTGCCTGGCCTGGCCCGCGGTGCGCCCCTGCATGGCTGATTGCCGCAATGTGCTGCACAGGCCGCAAGCTCGAGCGACACGCACCCACAGTTGCCAGGATGGAGGAGCATTACAAAGGTGACGGGGGCTGTTCCGGGAATGAAAACAACTGTGATAATGGCGGGGCGCTCAAACACATCATGTCAACCATGGCTTTCGTGAGCCTTCGGCATGCAGAGTCCGTGCAAAGATGGGAACGAAAACCCCATGCAATATGGAGGAGACATGTGTAGCACTATGGAGGAGACCACCACGCCTCTTATGCAAACAAAAACCCCATGCGCGGCCATGTTTCCAAACCCTGTGGTATTTGCAGCGCGTGGTATTGAGCTCAACGAGGCGCGCCTGCGTATGGCGGCACTGCCGTCGCCCGCCGACGAGGTGCTGTTCACGCCGGGGCTGTGGGTGCCGCTGGCGGTGGTGGACCGGGTGTACGTGCTGCCGGGTATACCGAGGCTCTTCCAGGCCATGGTGTCCGCACACCAGGTGGGTGAGTGGGCCAGCGGCAAGTGTGGCGGCAGCACCGACGCAGTCGCCTCAATGGGTTAGGCCGGTGAGGGCCATAAACTCCAGCCAGTTTGTGCGCCTTGTCGATGTGCGCAGCAGTTTGGCCCTCCCCTTAGAGGCAACCCTGAGGCAGGTAGAGGCAACCCTGAGCTCAGACGCTGCGGCCGCCCATGCCACATCCTGCAGGACCGCTTCGTTGGGCCCCTCAGCAGCACGCGGCTGCTGTACACGCACCTGGGGGAGGGGGACGTGGCAGATCCGTTGGCTGAGGTGAGCCTGAGCGATTTTCGGCTGCGGTTTTGCGCCTCAATTAGGCAGCGCAGGGCGCGCACGTATGTGGCGCGGCTGATGGAGTTCAGATGTCGCCGGCGTGCTCTTCTAAGGACAACGCAGCACACCAGCATGCTCCGTGCTTAGGAAAGGACGATGGCGGGGGCTGCTGCTCGGATGTGGCTGCCCTTGCTCATGTGACATTTTCGTGCACGGCTTCGCTCCTGCAGGTTGCCAAGGCACACACGGGGGTCAGCATCGGCTCGTACCCCAACACCGCGTCGGGCGATGCTGCGGACGCCTATAAGGTGAAGCTCGCCTTCACCAGCAGGGACGCGGGGGCACTGGACGCTGCCCTCGCGGCGGCCAGGGCGGCGCTGCCTGAGACGTTTGAGTTGGATGCAGCGGCGACACAGTAATGAGCATTACACTCTCATGCAGAAATGATCTTTCAGACCAGCTACCAGTCTGGCTTGTTCATGTCGTTTTGGGCCCTTGGGGCAGGTATGGCCCATTGTCAATGTGAGGCAATCGCGCTCACTGTGCCCAGCAAGAGCATGGCCCCAGCACTCTTGGCTATTGCCAATGGGTCTCTGAGACACTGATGAGGCCAAACGTGTGCACATGATGGCTTTCGTGGTTGCGACTGGGCAGAAATGTTGCCAGTGATGCACCAACGCTGCTGTCCCAGACAGTGTGGAGTTTAGCAGAGGAGTAGAACGGGCGCTGAGCGCCGAGTTCGGTTCAAGTACGGGCGCACGTGTCAGGGCCCATTCCCCTGCTGCCCCACTGGTTTGGGAGACCCGGGGGCCCCCGCTGGGCGCAGAGGAGCCCTCAGACATTGTGGACATGCCATGGAAGGCTGGGAGGTGTGAAGTTGAAGTACGCCTTTGTGCGCTTCAGATGCACAGCGTGCATGCAGCAGGGCCATTCTCAGCCTCCTGAATTTGAGAGATTACGACATTTCCCATCTGCGTACTTACAGCAATACACGGCATCGCAGCTTGTGCGAGCGCGCCAACAGAGGGACAGATCGATTTATCGCCCACAGCCATACGCCCTGCATAATTGAAATAATCTGTCTACCTTCACGCAAGGTATGCACGGTGTGCCCCTGCTCGCTCCCTTGCCAGCGATCTGGCCCTGTATTGATGTATCTCTGCAATAGCGCTCATGTGATACTCACTCATACAATCTCCAGGACTGACGCCTCACGCCAAGATGCTCCCCAGCATGAGCATCTTAGGCTCCAACGCCATTTCTTTGCCGCCGCCGCCAGTCGTGCTGTTCGGCCAGCCCGGGCCACTGCCAGCGCTCGACGTGGCGGACAGGCTGCGCTACAGGCAAAGGAATTTGGAGGAGAAGGAGGAGGTGTGTGTTACTCAATATGGGCCATGCGGCGTCCTCAGTGGGCCAGGGTGTGGGACATAAGCAGCCGGCAGGTCCTAACCACTCCAACTGAAATTCAATCACCACTCCCATGCACATGCACGCCACCCCGCCTCCGTAGGCCGTCTGGTACCTTCCCAACCAACCCAATACGCTGGCAGGGCCCGAGCCTGTGCGGTTGCGCTCTGTGCACAGCAAACAGGCCAGCGTAATTAGATTCACCAACCGCACACCACGCAATGTGCGCGCTCTGTGGATCGACTTCGACGGCAACGAGGTGGGAGCAGCTCGCCACCAGGTGGTTGAAAGCAGCCTGCATGCATGGTTCCAACCAAGGCCCGTTTCTGACGCGATGCGGCTTGCTGTGCTGTGGCATGCCTGCCCACCTCATGCACATGCGCAACAAAAACAACACCGCGTATTTTGCACCCCACTGCGGCCACTCATCCTCAGGTGGCGTACTCTGTGGTCGAGCCCAACCAGCAGCGCCTCTACCGCACATACGTGAGCTGCGAATGCTAGCGGCGTGCTGGCCAGGACACGCTCCCCGGCAATTTGCACACGAGCCTCGGTCGGCGGCCTCTGCACCGTCGCCCCTGAGCTTGGCCCGACCTTACCAACCCACACAGCGCTCCCGAATCCTCAATGCCAGGTGTCCCACCCCTGGATTGTGCGCGAGGTGTCCACGGGGGCACGCATGGTGCTGAGTGGGGCGGTGGCGGTGGTGGGCATGGCTGAGGAGCAGTGCGTCGACATCACAGACCCGCCCATGCTCGGCTGGGAGGTGCGGACGGGGGACAGAGGCGAGGCGGCCAGGCAAGGGCCCATGCCAGCGACCCAGGCACAGAGGGTCTGAAGCAGGCACAAGCATGCCGCATCGGTCGTGCATGCAGGTTTCCCCGCACAGCGCCAATGCGGCAGCCTCGTGCTTGCCGGCAGCTCAGCCTGCATGCATTCGGGCCTGCCCTCCACATTCAACCCAGCAAGCCGTTGACCTCAATTGCCCTTTGGCAAACCTCCAACCCCACACCTCTTGACTAATTTCGTGCAGATTGCGACCCACCGGTGCTTCCCTGACCAGCACAAGCGGGCCTCCAAGGCGATGCTGCTGTTGCACCACCGCCTCGCCACCATCCAGCCGGCATCGCACCTGTCCCAGCTGCCGGGAACCGCCACGTCCCCGCCCTGCAGCCCCGCACGCTGCGTCATGAAGCCCACTCCTATCGACGCCCTTGCCGCCACCACCACCACGCGGCTGCAGCTGTCGACGGCCCAGACCGACCTCAGCATCGCCATCACCACGGACAGCCCGCTAGCCGACTGCTCGCCCTACCGGGCCTCCAGCACGCAGTTGGTGTCGCCGCTGTCGCCGCGCCGCACCATTAACATCACCGTCAACGCAACCGGCTCATCCTTCGGCGTCAACATCAGCTCCTCTCTGCTGCCCGCGGACGCCAGCGCAGACGCGGAACCGGCACAATGCAGCCGGGACCAGGATCAGCGCCCCAGCTCAGCGTCGTCGCTGGCGCCGCTCTCGCCAGCCTCAAGCAGCAAGCACGCGCTGACAAGGTGCGCCGGTTCTGCAAGACAGGAGGGCACTAGCTATTTCTGCGGTGACTCATGGCTGCTGGGCTGCAGGTCTGTTGCTTGGGCATCAATCCCCCGGGGCCCACTACCCCAGCATGTTCATTGTTGGGGTGCTGCCATCGCAGGCAATGGAGTTGCACCCATGCTTGCTCTCAAACGCACGTGGCACCCCCTGACCCTCTATCCCACCCCTGGATCCCCCTCAGCGGCTTCAAGTCAGGCCTGTCAACCATCATGGGCCTCGTGAGCCCCAGCCGCAGCCGCACGCCGCTCTTGCGCCGCCTGGACGCCGCGGGCTGCAGCAGCACGCCTTTCGGGCTTGCGGCGTCGGGCACCAACCTCGGCTCGCTGCCTGAGCATTTGGTGGGTCTGGAGTAGGGAGCGACGTCGGAGTCGGGCGCCGGAACAGCGCGCTGGGGGTAGCGGTCTGCTGGTGCACGGTGGACCACGCATTGTATGTGGCAGTCGTTGTACCGTCTTTGGAGAAGCCTAGCACAAGTGCAAGCACTGCGTCCACACAAGGTGTCAACCCAGCTCATATCTTCCTTGAAACCTACCCGCCAGGTGTTGCACATCATAAAGCTGGCCGCGCCGCCACAGTGGCAGGGTGTCCACCTGCCGCCCTCCGGCCGCCGCGACATCAAGCCCACCCTCCTGGCCTGCGCACCCAACACCAAGACCCAGAAGGAAGAAGACGAGGACGCCGCCGCGGCTGATGCCGTCAACGACGCGGCCCGCAACGCAGCAGCAGGCGGCGCCGCAGCAGCAGCGGCTCAGCAGCAGCAGCAGCAGCAGCAGCAGCAGCAGCAGCAGCAGCAACAGGCGCAGCAGCCGTTCAACCTGGCTGCTGCGGCGCTCAACGCGTTCATCAACGAAGGCTGGAACTTGCTGGGCCCGCTGGGCGCCGCTGCGCTTGGTGAGGCCCCTGGGGCGGGCGTCGGCGGCGCGGCAGTGCTGCCGCTAGGTCCTGGGCACGGCTTCGCTCCCGCTGCAGCCCCAGAGGCCGATATGCCAGGCATGGCCGACAGCGACTCTGATGTGGATGAGTAGTGCAGCGCCTTAAGACCTGGCCGCAGCCAGCGTTTGTGCCTTGCCTCCCGCCCAGACTCTGATCGTGACGGAGTGCAATTTGGACCTGCGCTTCAGCCATGGGTCATGGCTTTTTCAAACACCCACATGCCGCGCGCAGAAAGCAGCCCTATGGCAATTCTTTGTAGGCGTGCCAATTGAAATTGGCTTTCTGTGAAGGGGTGTGCCCTGATGCACTACATCGCTCAACCACGCCTGATGATTCTAGCCTGTCTTTATCTACACTTGGTGTATGTGCGTGTACAGGCTCTCTACAGTAGCTCGACTGATTTGACTGCCAATATATTCTCTCCACATTCAAGCACAAGCTTCTGGGTATCTACCTGCATCTGCCTGACTGCTAACAGCACCTTGCTTTGTGGGCCTGTATCACGCTTCTGGGAGAGGTGTGCAGGTACGCCTGCCCCGCCTACCTGAGCAAACTTGCGCTCCACCCAACATTTAGCACTCACCACTACGGATTTGCTGTGAGGGCTTGCAGGGGTTTCCGCCTATAGATTTTGTCCTGCGTCACCACATCATTCATTTGTGTCTTCAACCCCAACCTGGTCAGGGTTGCTAACAGGGCAGGGCTGGCACACACTCTACATATCCTTACTTGCAGGCGCGTACTTACTCGATACTTGCAAAGTACGATATTACACCTTTGCTTGTGATTCTGGTACATCACGATGGCGTTTCATAGCGCCTCAAATGTTATTCTGGCCCACGGAAAGCTGTTGACCCTGTCATTTTGCTTCTAGCAGCACCTGAAATATCCCAACAGCGCTTTATCTGTATCAACATGTATAGTCGTCAAGTGTGATTTTGTGATTGCATGCGTGCTTGCCTCTCCCCTGCCCGCTAGACGGAGGAGTCATCGTACTCAGCTTCAAACACCTGCTCGCTTGCCATGCCTTGTTTGCCCAGCGTCCTTGCTCCTTCATGGACACAAGCAGTGAGTCCGCTGTGGCTAGTGCATACGTTCACTTCCGCACAACGCGGTGTGGCGAGGACGCATGTCACATGGAGGCTCCTCACCTCTTGCGCGGTCACGGTGGGTTTTGGCCCTGCCATGAGGCTTGTAGTTATTGTGCTCGCCCGCCCCGGAGCATGACGTCATACTTGTAAGCTGTATTTTGGACTGCGTAGGAGACCCCTGACAAGTAGCATTCGTTGCGCTTGCCTCTCGCCCATCCTGATGAGCCGAAGACACCAGCTGCTTGGGAAGCTTCGAAACTCAATTTGAAAATCAGCAGCAGTTCGCCGGCATTTCCATCTTGTCTTCTACAAAGTATGGTATGGCATGCACATGCGAGCCGCCCTTGCATACAAGCAAGTGGCAGCTAGAGCTTGCTGCGCGATGTTGACGTCGACAGCAGGTCAAGATCACTTGGATGATCTGGCAGGGGGATGGCGTTCAGAATTCGCTACTTTTCAGCCGTAGCTTTGCAACTGCGATATAAGGTAGCCCGACCGACTGCCATCAGCAGGATCAGAAAGTGATAGCGCTATCGACACAAACGTTGCGTAATAACGTATTGATATACATACATACGTGATGCGGAGCGTGGTAGCCTGGACGGAGACGCCGGTGCGAGGCGTGTCACACCGCTTCTGCTGCTTCTGCTGCTGCTTTGCACAGCTGCTACCGCTGCTGCTTTGATACGCGCCTGCATTTATTCCTGAGCCATACTACAAACATTTTTCCCAATAGCCTGAGAAGGACGGCATCAAGAATGTTTGCTACGACCTGTGCTTCCGGCCAGGTGCGGTCTGTGCAAGTGTGGCGCTCTCAGATCGCCGCCGCCGCTGCTACTTCGAAATCATGCTGCACCGGATACCAACCGTGCGACTTCGTCATGACACGGCTGTCTTGACTTCTCCTGCCTGTCTGCAGATGGCAGCCAGCTGGTGGCTGCAGTCGGCAGCCGAGTGCTGGTGTACGATGCGGCAGACGGCGAGCTACTGCACGCACTCAAGGGGCACAAGGTGTGCCTGCAAGCGGCGGCGTGGGTGGCACTGTTGTGATGGGAGCCAGAGGCGGCTTATACTTGCGACTGCACGCTTATGGGTTGGTGGGGCCATGGCGGCAGGATCCACGTGCAGCCTGGTCCCGCAAGCACAGGGTTGCGTTTGCGTGTTGTCGTGTTGGGATGGCGCAGGCGCTTAAGACAGGCTGGCCTGCAGGTCAGTTTGTAAGTGCTGCAGCAGCTGGATTTTGCTGTTGCCAGCCGCATGGCGGACACCATCACCCCCTGCTCATACGCTAGGGCCTGGTGTACTGCGTCGCGTACGCTTGGAACGGAAAGCGTTTTGCGTCTGGGGGCGCCGACAAGACCGTCATCATCTGGACCAGCAAGGTAGGTGGAAGGGAGGGGGTAGAATAACGTCCTGGCAGGAAGTATGCAGACGCAGCTGAGCCCGCAACAGGGCTGATTGCGGCCAGCCGCCGGGCGACAGGCCGCCCAGGACTGGCTGCCTTTCCCACAGGTCAAGTTTGCACGTGTTTGCAAGTGTCAGGGCGGCGGCCCACAAGCAACACCCACTGCACCATCTGCCCGTCACCATTCCAATGACTACCCCAGGGTGAGGGCATCCTGAAGTATACCCACGGAGACTCTATCCAGGCGCTGGCCTACAACCCTGCTACCCAGCAGCTGGCCAGCGGCACCGCAGGCGACCTGGGGCTCTGGTCGCCGGAGCAAAAGGCAGTGACGAAGCACAAGGTGGGCGGCGGGGGCTCAATCTGGTGGCGTTGGTCGCCTTTGCGCCGGACCCTGTGGACTCCCAGGTTTGTGCTGCTGCCGCCCTGTATGCCCGTCCGCACAGCACCACACATCAAGGCGTATAGTATGTCCATGAAGTTGGTGGTCTACACCCCTGTGGACGGCCAGGTCCAGTCCAAGATCCTGTGCCTCTCATGGACCGCGGACGGCACCCTGCTGGCAATGGGCTGCTACGACGGCAGCGTGTCCGTGCGCGACCGCGCCGGCAGCGAGCGAGCGCACTTCAGCGCCGGGGCAACACCCGCGTGGAGCTTGGCCTGGAGCCCGCAGGTGCGGTGGAGTTAAGAGCACAAATGGTCTATAATGACTCTGTTAGTCAGGGTGTCAGGGGTTCTTGAGCCAATATTTTGCCTTGTGTCAAGCTGGGTGGCACTAATTGGCTGTGGCGTTCTAGCCTCTGCATAGATAGGTAGAGGCATGCCTTGCGTAGCATGGGGTGCGTAGCATGGGGTGCGTTGCATGGGGTCGGTGCACCTGCCAACACCCCAGGCCGTGACCGTCCCCCCCCCCCTGCGCAGGACCAGCCCATCCTGGCGGTGGGCCTGCTGGACGGCCGCCTGCGGTTCTTCACCTCCAGCGGCACTCAGAAGCACAAGGACAGGGAGATGGCCGGTGGGCTGGAGGGGCGATGGGGCGAGGACAGCACAGGGGGGGGGGGCAAGCTCTGGCGTGATTAGCGCTGCCCAGCGTGTGCGCCGTGGCGGAACAAAGCTGCGTGGCGCACTTCATTCGAAGACCTTCGAGACTGCCTGACGGCAACCCCACCTTGCGCGACGCCTACCTTCCATCCTGCCTGCATCTCGTCCCTATATCCCCTCCACAGGTGACCCCCTCAGCCTGGCGTACTTCAGTGAGGAGTACCTCCTGGTGGGGGGGACAGACAAGTGAGCAGGGGGCGGCCAGCGCGTGTCATGCGACCCCCTGCTGCTGCTGATGCTCCTGCTGCTGCTGCTGAAATTGCTGCTGCTGCTGCCGCCACTGCTGCTGCCGCTTCAGCTGCTTCTGTTGCTGCTAGTCATACTGATTGTGGGGTTGGGGTGACACCTGAAGCCGCGGTGGCTGCCCTGGACACACTGCAGCTGCAGCAATGACCGCGGCCGCGACACCGGAAGGCTCTCCCAGCCCCCCTCACTCAAGACCTGTCATCAAAAACCAGCATCAACTGACAATCAGCTCAATGCGCAGGCGCCCCTGCCCAGAGGTACCTGCATTACATGCTGCTGATCACATGCCCCGCACCCGCACATGAATCCTGACCGTCGCATTTCCCAGGTCGATTCAAATGCTGACAAAGGAGGGCGTCAGCCTGGACTCATTTCCAGGGCGCGGCAGGTGTGCTGAGGCAGGTGGTGGCGGTTTTGCAATGCAGCAATGTGCTCTGTGCTTTGAATCCTCACTCTGCGGCTTGTTGGGGGCGTGCCTGATGCCGTCTCCCTTTTGTATTTGCTGATGTCCCACTCTGCCCTTGTAGCTGGATCTGGCGCCTTGCCCCGCGGCCGGGGTCCAACTATGTTGCTGTGGCGTACGAGGATGGCAGCCTGGCCATGATCCAGATCATCTTCAGCACGGTGCACGGCCTCTACGGGGACAGGTGGGTACAAAACAGGATATGTAGGGGCTTGATGGCAGATTTATGACGTGAGGGTATCAGGGGCTGGGGTTGAGAGTTGCAAGAGCGGCAATGCCGGCTTTCTGCAGCTGGCTGGGGAGGGTAAGCCAGACCAAGGTTGACTGAGGACTTGCCACTGCACATCACACCATCCGTCACGTTGGATCAATCCACACTTGCTGCATTCACAAACCGCCAGGTATGCGTACCGTGATGCGATGACTGATGTGATCATACAGCACCTCATTACGGAGCAAAAGGTCAGGATCAAGTGCAGGTGGGGGCGGCGAGGGGGGGGAGGGGGGCGGCGTGTGAGAAAGGGGGCTGGAAGTGGCCCGAGGAAAAGATAGGGCAAGTGACGGACATGCTGAGAAATGCGTGGTGGCTGCCGTGCGAGCATCTCAGCGTGGCGCCAGCGGATGCTGTCCAAGAATCCACGCGCGTGCATGTGGATTCACCTTACCAAAACCGAAACATCTGATTGGAGCATCTTATTATAGCGTGTGCACTGCAGTGTCAAGCAATGTAAAATCCGGCCCCTGGAACCCTGGGCACAGGGACTATGTCAAGAAGGTGGCGGTGTACCGCGACAGGGTGGCGGTTCAGCTGGCCTCCAGGGTGGTGATCTACGAGCTGGCGCCAGCAGAGGCCGGGGTGGCAGGTGGGTGGAGAGGGACATGGTGGGACGAGGGTAGGCGGAGGGAGGGCAGCCTCGCTCAGGGCCTCGTGAAAGGTGTTGCCCTGTGCGCGCCCCGGCGCACCGACTCTGGCATGAATCATAGACGCGCAGCTGCAGTCGGTGCTCTCAGTCTATCTGCCCCACGCCAAGCCTGCATCCTCAACCCCCCCTTCCAGTCGACGACAACGACATGCAGTACCGGGCCTGCGCCAAGATCAACGCCAGCTGGGACTGCAACCTGCTGGTGGTGGCCAGCGCTCACCTGGTGCTCTGCCAGGTTGGTTGAGCGCGGCAGTTTGCTCCCGATTGCGGTACGCGCAGATGCGTCAGTCAAGCAGGAGCACCCCGGCCTGGGCGGCCTTAATGGCAGGCGGCTGGTCACACGGCCACCGTGGCTCCTGTTTAAGCAGAGGCGCCGGCCTCGATCAAGTCATCTCTGTGGGTCGCACGTCGTACTAAAACCTGATAGCCAATTTGCCAGCTGCCGCATGCCTGCCTTGCTGTTTTGCTCGCAGTGTCCGCAGCATCCATCAATTGTTTCTTTCTCTCTCTCCCATCCTGACGCACCCACCGCCTGCCCCCAACCCCAGGACAAGCAGTTGCAGCTGTACAACTTTGACGGCGTGAAGGAGCGCGAGTGGAGCCTGGACGCAGTCATTCGCTACATCAAGGTGAGCCCACGGCCTGGCACAGCCTTCGCGTGCGCCCTCAGGATACAACAGGGGAAGACTCTTGGGGTTTATATCCCTGGCAATCCGGGGGGCGCAGCGTAGTTTCTGGCGGATTGCGTGCTGCTAGTAAAATAGTCTGCTCGTATTGTCGGACTAACGTGGTGCACAGGTGGCGGGCGGCCCACCCAAGAGGGAGGCGCTGGTGGTGGGGCTCAAGAATGGCCAGGTGGGGGCGGCCAGGGTCGGCTGGGCTTTGCTGCATACTGCAGCTGTGCACGGTCACTCGTGCGACTCTGTGACTTGCGCAAGCTGCGAGAGTGCCCCACTCAAACAACTAGCCCACGGCTCACCGCCAGGATTGCCCCCCCCCCAACGCACTGCGCCCCGGCCCCCGCAGGTTGTCAAGGTGTTTGTGGACAACCCGTTCCCCATCCCCCTGGTGCACCACAGCTGCGGCGTGCGCTGCCTTGACGTGTGCCCTGCGCGCACGCGGCTGGCCCTGGTGGACGAGGCCGGCAAGGTGGTGGTGTACGACCTGGAGACCAAGGTGGGGGGTAGGGACGGGGGGCAGCGTGCGGGTGTGTGGGTGCTGGGAGAGCGGTGTGACTGGCCAGGTTGTGGGAGCTGCTCAGGGTGCGCAGAGGGAGCGGGGAGGGGTTTGCAGATGCGGGGTCTTGCTGGGTGGGTGGGCGGCAAAGGGCGGCGACGTCCTTGCGGCTGCGACTGGCGTTGCGGCCTGAATGTCAAGAGGACCCACCACCAGCCCAGGCCTCGAGGTGTCTCACTCATAGCTCACCCAGTTTACTCCCCACCGCCACCACCGCCGCCGCCGCCAGGCTGTTGTGTTTGAGGGCGAGAACGCCAACAGTGTTGCGTGGAACGCGGACTGCGAGTCCATGCTGTGCTACAGCGGGGGCGGCGCGCTGACCATCAAGACGGGGGACTTCCCGCCTCACAGCCAAAAGATGGCCGGGTTTGTGGTCGGCTTCAAGGTGCGGCGGGGGTCACGGTCATTCGTGTGGGCCTGCAAGTCTGGTTGCGTGTGCTGTCGCACTGCCTGGTCGTATCCATTCCCGGGACCAAGTGTCTTGTTGCAACGTGTGCCTCCCCTGCCTTCCTCCGCATGCCCCGTGAAATTCAGCTGCGTCCTTTCACCCACCCACCCCACCCAACCTTCCCGCAGGGCTCCAAGGTGTTCTGCCTGCAGTTTGCCAGCATGCAGACCATCGACGTCCCGCAGAGCGCGTCCATGTTCAGGTGCGGGGCAGGAGCAGGTGGGGCCGGGAAAGACCGGCTGGGTCGCCTGCGGCCCTTGAAGGACGCATGCGGCAGGGGTTGCAGCGGTAAGCGCCACGTCAGACGAACTGCGGTGTTTTACCCTGCATGCGGGCTCTTCATCAACCCCGTGGATGCCTGCACGCGCCGCACCAACCCCCCGGGCCCTGCGCCCCTCCCCCCTCCCCCCCAGGTACCTGGGTCAGAAGGACTGGGAGGGAGCGTACCGCACCGCCTGCCTGGGGGTCACAGACGCAGACTGGCGCGCGCTCGCGCTCGCGGCGCTGCAGGTGTGTGGCGAGTGGCCCGGCATGCCCGGTGCGATGCGTGCCGCGGCGACTCCCTTGGACGCCGTCGCCGAGGCCCGCTGCAGCTCGCTCGCGAATGTTGATGGGCGTGCGAACTCGCGTTTCTGGCAATGCTCTGGCGTGACACCTCTGAACACCAATCCCTCTGATGGCACACTGGCAGCGACTCCAGGGTTTCGCACATCCTGCACTCAACACGCCTGGTGTTGCTCTCTTGCATTTCGCACCCCCAGGGTTCGGAGGTGGAGGTGGCGCGGCGTGCGTTTGTGCGCGTGAGGGACCTGGGGGCTGTGGAGCTGGTGGACAGGGTGGCGGCGGGGCTGAGGGGCGGACTGCCGCAGGGGCTGCTGGCGGCAGAGGTCATGGCCTGGCAGGTGCGGGGCGGGGCGTTGATGGGGGGCGCAGCGGTGTCTGGCTGGCTGGAATTTGACGTGATGTTTGGGAGGGGTCTTGAGACACGCGTTCAGGGCACCGCGGGGCCCTGAGGTCCTCCCCTGGTCCATGACCTATCACAACAAGCCTGGTTCACCAGGTCCCGAAACGCATGCGTGCTGCCGCCTTCCACCACCCCGCACCCCACCAGGGGCGGTACCAGGAGGCGGCGCGGCTGTACGTCAACGAAGGACGCCTCGACAAGGTGAGTGAGCGCGTGCGTGCGTGCGTGCGTGCAGGGCTTGGTGCCCTACCAAGAGCGCCCCTGACGAAGGCGGGTTAGACAGCAACTTGCAACTTGCGATGGGATGAGGGGTGTGCAAACTAGGTTTACCCTAGACTTTGTAATTCTCAAATCCTGCCGCGACACACCCGCGTGTTTGTTTTGGTGACAGAGTAAGTATCGGCGTTGTATGCATGCCACGCCGGACGGCCCCGCCCTCTGGTCCCGTGCCCCCGCCCCCTTTTCAGGTGCTGGAGATGTTCAGTGCGCTGCGCCAGTTTGACGAGGCCAAGAAGTGGGCCGACGAGTTCGCGCGCAGCGGCCGCGCCGCAGGTGGGTAGCGCGCAAGCTGCCGCACGGTCAAGATCGGTTTTGACCCCCGCTTGCTTTGTGATGCACCGCTGATGTTGGCGTCTTGTCAGCAGCAATGGAACTCTCGCGTAAAGAGTCACACCCCAGGCAATGCAGTACCTCCCCTTCTTCCCACAACTGCTGCAGGCAGCCAGGGGGCCGCGGGTGCGGCTGTGTCTGACCTCATTGGGCGGCAGGCCGAGTGGAGTGAGGAGAGCGCCAACTACGAGGCGGCTGCTGAGATGTACATCAAGGTCGGGGCCATGGGGGGCGG